TGACCCTTGAGTACATGACTTTCTAACGTTCCATAGGATGGAATGGGAAATATGCATAAAGCAGTTCTGTTCAATACCAAGGTCGTGGTGACCTCCAGGAAAAGCTCTTGTGCAATTGTTTGAGTTGCAGGTGAAACTAGCCATTTTTCATGGAACACTATTTTCACTTGAAAGAGCAACTGCTAAAAAAATAGGATTATTCAGATTTCAGTATTTAGCAGACACTTTCTTGAAAATGAATGCAGTGAGCCTGTCACTTCAAGGAAAACAACTGACAGCTATTTCTTGCCAGTGATAAAATTTGAGCTTTTGAACAAAAAGTAAAATGTTGGAAATTTTACACCATGAATTTGGCAGCTTCTTAATACTTAAAAGAATTTTCTGATGAGATCAATGGTAATATTAGCAGTAATATTTATTAATGAGATTTTTTTTTTTTACAGTAATGAAATGTGTCAACATTGCAAAGATCTGCATGCCGGCGACTCAATATTTTTTAACAGGACCAATGCATGATGCTCCAAAATCATGCATGGATGAAATAACTATTAAAAATGCAAGACAGATCAACAGATTTTAACATAACAGTAAGAAAAGTTCATTGATAGGGTTTCAAATTCCACATTGCAACTAACCTTTAAGAAACTACTATTTGGTGAATTTTGGTATAGTATTAAAGAATATTCACAATTATCTGAAAGGGCTATTAAAATACTCTTATTTTACCAAGTGGATATTTACGTGAGGTTTAATTTTCTTCATAAATTTCAACCAAAACAATATACTGCAACAGATTGACTATGGAAGCAAAGATGAGAATTAAGCTGTTTTCTACTTAAGCCAGACAATAAAAAGATCTGCAAGCTGTAAAACAACGCTACATTGGTTACTGATTATTTCTCTTTTGGAAAATTTATCAATTTTTCACAAAAACATTCACATGCAATGAGTATCTTCTTTTTGTTTTTTAATTAATACATAAATATTTAAAATGCTCTCACTTTAAATTTCTAATGTGGTAAATACAGATAGATATGACCCACATAAACAAAAGCTCTTTGGAGTTATCAATAACTTTTAATACTGCAAAGAAATCCTGAGACCAAAAAGTTTGAGAACCATTGCTGTAAGCAAAGAAAAGTCAGCGGCAGATTTGAATAAGAGGAGAGATTTTGTTCCAGAAAGATCCTTCCCAAAGTAGCATGGAAGCCCGACAACAGTGGAACCAGGTTGCAGGCAGGTGCCCCAGTCAGGGAGTGAGAAGTAATGAGGAGAGACTAGAAGTGGCAATGGGATAGGAGACGAAAGGATTTTTGCAAGGAACATTCCGAAAGAAGAAAAGTCAAGACTTGTTGGTTATCTACCCACCCCCACTCTACCCACTGCTCCTGCCACAGCAGGCATTTCATCCACATGCCTCCTAGTCCCCACTGACCTGTCTAATGCACACTGGGCTTAATGTGTCCCAAAATAGTCCTGCTTTCGCCCAGCTCAAGCCTGCTCCTTACAGACTTCTCCGTCTTAATAAAGAACAACGCCATTCTTCCAGTTGCTTGGGCTAAACACCTGAAGCCCTTAAATCCAGCAGCAAATCCTGTCAGCAATACTTTTAAATATCTCCATAATCCGACCACCTCCCACCATCCTGGGGCTACCTCTCTGGCCTCATTTTCTACCACCCTTTCTTGTTCACTCTCCTCCAGTCAGGCCGGCCTCGGAGCTGACCACCGACCACGCTAAGCACACTCCTACCTCAGGGCCGTTGCACTGGCTATTCTCTCTGTGGGCCTCGATATGTACAAGGTCCTGATGAATTCATTGAGAAGCCTGCAGGTCAGGGGACAAGGGCTGCCTCTTGACCTCCCAGGCAGGGCTGGAGCCTGAGGGTGCCAGCTTGATCCAGAAACCCTGGCTGGGGAGTTAGTTAAGAGGGAAGTATTTTAACAAAGCCCCACGAGGTGTCACTTTTTATTCTGATCCTCTCCTTTCCCCTCAGCCTGTTCTGGCCAGTGTCAGTCCCCACGGCATAAATTAAGCCTCATTAGCAGAGAGCCAGGCCCGGTGATCCCCAGGTAATTTAACAGCAGGTCCTTTACATGGGACCCTGCGTGCACGCAAGGACTGCCTTCTAGGCAGGCATCTCAGAGTGGTCTGCAGAGGCTAATTAAAGCTCCCTAAGCTCCACCAGGGAAAAGCAAGACAGGCACAATCAGATCTAAATCCGTGCTTACTCAGGGACGAATGCGAGGGGGGCAGAACCACAAGCCCAGCTCCAAGGAAGCCACAGCCTCCCTGGAAACGAGACAGAGTCACATGACTGCTTCCCCCAGGCTGGCAGTGCACATTAAGTCACAGCCACAGTAATGCCTTGAATCACAAACTCTGGCGGTCCCCACCCATTGCATTACAGGAAGTGCACTGTTTTCCTCGGGTTTTCCAAGAACGCGCAGGAGTGCGGACACGTGTCCGAGTCCCGGCCGCGCGCCTCCTGTGAGCAGAGCAGCCGAAGCTCAGTCGCGCCCCCTGGAGGCGGGTCGGCTGCTGACGCCCTCTCGCTGTGCAAAGCCGTGGAGGGCTTCTACCTCTGTTTTAAGCATGTAGTGGGCCGAGGAAGTATCTTCAAAGGTATCTTTTGAAGTGGAAGGGAGAAGAAAACTTCTCCCTCTGTGTTACCCTCTGTTCCACAGTGAAGCTGCCGGAGCCCCAAACGATTATTTCCTGTTATTTCCAACTATTTCCTCTGGGGGGCGCGCGTGCACACTGCCAGAACGGGTTGCGGTGGGGCCTGCCCACGTGCTTACCTGTTTTTTTCTCTCCACCACTCGGTTTGCCTTGTGTTGTGCTAAGGGCAGGGCGCTAATTCAGCCCCCTCGTAAGACTGGCGATCTGAGAGCTGCCATCTCAACGACGCTGGAAGACACCAGAGTTCCTGCATCCAGCATGGGGCGGGGACAGGATGACAGAAAATATTTCTGTGTCAGCCACAGTTCTAAGCACTCTTTACATGTCCTTTCCCATTTGATCTTCACAACAACCATAGGACGTGAATACTATTACTCCCATTTCATAGCCTGGCTTAGGGGAAATTAAGTAGTTTGCTCAATGTCCCACAGCTACTGATGGCAGAGCAGGATTCAAATCCAGGCTACCTGGCCCTGAAGGCCATGTTCCTTTCCACCACACCGAGCAGGGTTGTGAAGAGGCCGACTGACCTGAGACAGCCCACCCAGGAGGCTGGCTGGGGAGGACAGTAAAGACTGAGGCTGATGACTGTGGCGGTAGGTTTTATGTGTCACTTTGGGTAGGCTGTAGTCCCCAGTTATTCAATCAAATGCTAGATGTGGCTGTGAAAGTATTCTGTAGCTGTGATTAGTCTATATAATCAGTTTAAGTAAGAGAGATTATCCTAGATCATCTGAGTGCATCTGATTCAATCAGCTGAAAGGCTTTAAGAGCAACTGAAGCTCCCTTGAAGGAATTGCACCTGTGGACCACAGTTTCAGCTCATGCTTGAGAGCTCCAGCCTTCCTGACGTCCTGTCCTACAGATTTTGGACTTGCCTAGCCAGCTATCACAATTGGATAATTCAATTTCATGCAAAAAACTCTTAATATATCCTATTGGTTCTGTTTCTCCAGTTGAACTCTGACTGATACAGTGACCAAAGACCAGACAGGTGCCTGTGGGGGCGTGTCATGACGCCCCTTCCTAGAACTTGGTTCAGTGTGAGTCCCCTCCAATGGCTAGCTGCCACCCTGGGGAGAGCTGGAAAATCCCAAAATGAGATAAGTTTACAACATCAAAGGGAATGGAGAATCAATAAAGAAATTTAGTTAAGATGTCAAAAGATGAAGAGACATTTTTTGCACTCCCAAGTTTATAGGCTAAGTAGATTTACACCTATAGCACCATTTTAACATCCTATACCTATTTCAAGGTGCAAGAGAGGAACAGAAATACAATGACATTAACAAAACCATAATAATAAGAGTAATACTATCTTACTGTAAGAGATGATCAGCTGTCCATTATTGTGCTTTACTTAGATCATCTAACTCAACCCTCACAACACCCTTGTGAAGGAGGGATGGCTATTAGCCCCTTTACAAAAGAGGAACTGACACCTGGAAGGCCGAGGTGACTGCCTCACTGTTCCATGGCTGGTGAGTGAGAGTCAGGATCCAAGACCTGGCCTGTTTGCCTCCAAAGCTGTACTTTAATGACTATGCTATACTGGTCTCTGGCAAAATGACTAGAATTTCCCCTTCAGACTCACCATTTCTCTTTCAAAGCTCCCGGAGACTCTCACGTGTGCTCCTCAGCTACCACCACAGATCTCTTCTCCTTCCTGGCATTTGCCTTGTGTCCTTTGATTACCCCAGGATTCACTAGGAGGCTCCCAGATTTTGTTGGTGTCTCTTCTCCAGGATGAAGATGTTGCTTGTATCATTGCCTCAGGGCTGGGTCAATGATGCTGCCCCATTGGACTCCAACAGTCTTACCCAATGGTCACTCCCCACTTCCTGACTAGCAGCACTGTTCACTATAGCCAAAAGGTGGAGGCAACCCAAATGTCCATCAGCCGATGAATGGATAAACGAAATGTGGTCTCTCCATACGATGGACTATTACTCAGCCATAAAAAGGAGTGAAGTACATGCTACGGCATGAATGAACCTCGAAAATATTATGCTAAGTGAAAGAAGCCAGACACGAAATGTCACATATTGTGTGATTCTATTTAAATAAAATATCCAGAATAGGTAAAGCTACAGAGAAAGAAAGCAGACTAATGATTGCTAGGAACTAGTGGGAGGAGGAAATGGGGAGTGACTGCTTACAGGGGGATGGGGTCTCCTTTGAGGGGTGGCGAAATGTTTTGGAACTAGAGAGAGGTGATGGTTGAACAACGTTGTGAATGTACTAAATGCCACTGACTTGTACATGTTTAAATGGTTAATTTTATGTTATGTGAATTTTGCCTCAATAAAATATATACAGTGCTTCGGCAGCACATATGCTAAAATTGAAACAAGACAGAGAAGATTAGCATGGGCCCCGAGCAAGGATGACACGCAAATTCATGAAGCATTCCATATATTTAGATGTAATTAAGGTAAAGATCTCAAGATGAATCATCGCAGATTAGCATGGGCTCTGAATCCTAGGACTCTAAAAGGAGGAGAAGGCCCACAAAGAGACACAGCAAACAAGGCCATGTGAAGATGAAGGTAGGAAGAGACTAGAGTTATGCTAGCACAAGCCAAGGAATACCTAAGGCCACCAGCAGCTGAAGAGGCAAGGAGTCTTCCCTAGAGCCTTCTGAGGGCCTTCGTGGCCCTACTGACATCTTGATTTTAGACATCCAGCCTCTACAACTATGAGAAAATAAATTCCTATTATTTTAAGCCGAGAATAAAAAGTAGAAATAAAATACACACATACATACATAAGTAATGCTAGGTCGTCCATGTACACTCAGTCATATGGTTTTTTCATCTGACAGTTTTGTCTTCATGTCAGCCATCCTCTCTCTAGGAACTTGGTATAAGATCCTTCGGCTGGGGCTGGGCAAGCAGGCGATTTGACAGCATTGCCATGGTCTGCCCTAAGTTCCCCTGCTCCTCTGGGCCCCATTCGGTCTTCCCTGGCAAGTGGGGAAAACTGCCGTTTGGGGCACTCTCCCATCTGGAACCTTCTCCAGGGGGATTAGAGTATCTAATTTTTGTTGCAAGTAACAGAAACAAACTCTGGCTAATTAAGCAAAAAAAGAGTTTATTAAAAGGATAGTAAACTCACGGAATCGGTTGAGGGGCTGGCAGACCTGGAGGGAGGCTAAGTTTCCAGGATCAATGCCCCTAAACGGTCAGTGTTAGCTGCATGAGCAAAACACCACTGCCACTGTTGCTCCGCGAGGACATTTCTACACTAAGAGTTTCTGCGTAAACCGCGCGCCCACAGCCACCCCGCGGCCACCCTCACCGCAAAACCTTTTCTCAAGTTCTCACTTCCTTAGCCAAGTCTCCCTCAGGTGAATATGATTGGTGGAACCAGGTCACGTGCCGGCTCCTGAGCCGCAAGGAAGGCTGGGAAGCTGCGGGAAAGTGGGACTCATAAGGCTGCAAATTTCTCAACTATCACAAGGAGTTGACAATGTGTTAGGTATACAGAAAACATGACAAACGGCAGATACATTATTCCTCGACTGTTCGAAAGACCATGTCGCAGCCCTAGCTCATTAGGCATTGTCTCATAAGGTAACTTGGGCCTTGTGCGGAGACCCAGCCTGGCCAGATCCGGTATTGGCTGTCCGGAACATTTAACTCCTGCCCCTCCCCCGCCCCCAGACATGTAGGTCTCCTGGAGCTGTCAGTCATAAAGTCCATCTGCCCTGCCCACCCCTAGTTATAGGGTAGGTAAGTAACAGACTGGATCAACCACAGTATTCCATTTCCTGACAACAGTGATTAGTCCAAGGGGGGCCGTGACCAAAACAGGGCCATGTAGAATTTTAGAGTTTTTCCCTGGGATTGATAAGATGCTGTATGTTGTGGGGGTGGGGTGGGGGGAGAAACTCTCTTTCGCCCTGGAGTTGTAAGCTGGGAGGAAATTTATTTCAGCTGGTGGCCATCTTCCCTCACCACATAAACCATATGCAGTAGGTGAAAATGAAGTCAACCTAGGTGAAACGGAGATGAGAGATTGTGAGACAGCCAGGAAAACATGGTTTCATCTCCTGGATCCCGCTAAGCCTGAAGTCATTTCATCTCTAGCTTTCATTTATATGAGCCAATAAATTCCTTTATACATTTCAGCTAGAGTTGGATGTCTCTTATAACTGAGTCTTTGTAATAAACCACTCACTTTCTAATGGGAAATTTGCTCTGAAGCGTTTTGTTATCTCACTTGATAGCGGATTTTAAAGTAAGGAGGGAGCTTTAATAATAAAAAATGACTATTATCCCAATTTTACATAGAAGAAAATTTAGCCTCAGAGAGGTTAAGGGCCTTGGCCAAGGTCACACAGCTAACTGTGATCTGGCTTGAATTTGAATTTAGTTCTGCCTATCTTCAAGTTCAGCACTCTTCTAGAATTCTATAGTCAAATTTTATTTGCAGAACTAATTCCATTCCTCACAGTTATCCCCAATCCTTGGTAAACTCAGGCCTTTCAAAGCCAACTCTTGGTTGCTAATAACAATAAATAACCAAAATATCCTATGGAGTTATCCTTCCCAGAGTGTTTTCATTTTCAAAATGTGCAAGGGCCAAGGTATAAAGCTTTGAAGTAGAAATTTCAATTCCCGATTGTGGATGTGAGGAACTTAGAGCTCCTGAAACCTGTCCCCATACCTACACTTATGGGATACCCTGACCCTATGGGAGGGGGTTTCCCTACTATCCCTAGCTAGAATGCTTTTTTCTGGGAAACTCCAGAATTTGAGGGTGGTAGGGACAGTGTCAACATATTTTGGGAGTCCTGTGTAATTCACGAGACCCTATAATTTGAGCACAGCCTGTACCAGGTTGAAACTCTCATCAAACCAGGTCAGCACCTGGAGGTTAGTTATTTGGGAAGGAAACGTGATAGAAAAGGATCATGGGAATTAATATCCATTGAGCACGAGCCAAGGCCAAGGATGGCAAATAGAGTTCATCTCCACCCTCAGCCTTACTCATGCATTGACAAGAATGCCAAGGCAGCATCCAAACGCAATCGGCAATGTCTGCCCTGGGTGCGGGAGAGGGCCTGGTAGCATGGCCCTTTCTGGCTCTGAATCAGGCAATTTACATCGTTAACCCCAAGTTTTCACAACAACTTTTGAAGTGGAAGTTACTCATCTTATTTTCCAGAGAAAAAAACCTCTAAATCCAGAGGTTTAGAGAGGATGTTACTTGCTTCTTGCTGCTAAGTGGATGAGTCTTTTAGAATGAATAAATAAACAACACGCCACCACAACAAAAACATTACTTATCACTTACTGTATATTCCTACATGCAAGACACTGTATTAAGCCTATTGCATATATTATCTTAGTTTATTTCCCAAAAGCATTTACATGTGGGGAAACAAGAACTGAGAATCCAAGTGTGGTGTCCAGTGCCACCAGCTAGTGGGAAGCAGAGCGGAAGTGGAAGCTAAGTGCATCCAAGACCCCAGTTCCTACAGTCCTGTTACTTCACACTGGTTTATTTTCATCATGAGTCGCTGCTTGGTGGGGGAGGAGGATTCTGAGAAAGTGAAGGGCTACGGTATGACAATATAACAAAAACTGACTTTAGCACTTCTGTAGACGCTTTCTAATAAATCCTGCGAGGAACATGGGTGGGTGTTTTCAACCATCAGGCTTGTTAAGGGCAGGGCAGGCCCTTTTCTTAAGGCCTGTCACCCCACTAAGGCTTTTTGAGCTCCCCTCCCCCTGTGGGGGTCAGCCCACTGCTCCCTCAGCCCCACCCACCCTGGCCTTTTCCCATCCGGGTGAGTCAGAGACATACAGAACTTTCTGCACAGAAAGACATGCTGGGAAAAATCCTTGGTGGTTTGTATCCAAAACATGAGGCAGCTTGGTGCTGTGACAGGAGCGTTGTCACTGCTCCTAGACAGGTGACCTTTGAGCTAACAGAGGTTTCTTCATCTGGAAAGCAAGGAAGATGGCCTATGTGACATCCAAGTGAGTGAGTTACTCTAAATTGTGTGACATGCCTGAATCCAAGGACAGTCTTTGTAATCTCTCTCAGACCCTGTTCATTCTCATTCCATCCCTCATTCGTTCTCATTCTGTCTCCCCCTTGGCTAAGAAGTTTTCCATCATATTACTATGAAAATTTTCAAGTAAGCAGCAAAATTGAGTCAATTTTATAGTGAGCACCCATATACCCACCTGCTAGATTCCACCTGGTTCACTTCAGCTTGTGTCCCTGGTGACTACTGAGGCAGAAAGTCCCCAAACGTACCTCCTTGAGGACACCAGGGTGGGATTCAGTCAGAACCCCCTTCTTCCTCACATCGTCCACATCCCTCATGTAGCCCAGCCATCTTTCTGGTCTTCTAAATGTCCATGCCTTGCTGTGGTGACCCTGGATCAGACTACCTCTCCCACAGGACAGCAGAAAGGAAAGGAGCGTGCCAGGTGGAGCAGGACACCCAAGTTTCTCACGAGGTCACTTGGTGCCAGGCACTTGCCACGTACTACTATTTGTATAAATTTCTCCCCCAGAGATGTGCAAGTAATTCATAATCGATGTAGAAACTTTGGGAAATTTCATGAAAGCCTGAAAATTTTAAGAGCAGTAGCTAGCATTTGTTAAGTGCCTACTGTGTGTTGGGCATTGTGCCTGTCCCACGTGTGTCCTCGGCAACCATATCTTATAGGTAGGTATTTCTTATTATTATCTCCAATTTCTAGTTGAGGAAACTGACGTACAGAGGAGTTAGATGATTTACTCCCATCCACACAGGTGGGAAGGGATAGAAGGGGGATTTTCATCACTAACCTCCACTGTTTCCATAAATCCTGTTGTAAATGGATTAGGTATTTTCTGTGCAGTAACATTGGAACATGCACATATATATTTATTTTAATAAAATTGAGATCGTGGTACTTCTTAACCTACTTCTTTCACTTAAAATATTTAACCATTTCTATACACATATTAATGCACAAAATAATCCTATCAAATAGACATCGTTATTTGCATTTACAGATGAGAAAACTAAAGGCTACAGATTTAAAGATGGAAAATGGAAGCTCAGAGAGGAAAATAGCTTGCCCAAAGTAATGGTAAATGGGGAGGTAGGAATTGAAATGCCTGACTAAAGCTGGTGCACCCCACCCCCACCCCATCTCCCACACCCCGGGGGTGAGGCCACTGTGTACATGGGGTAGAGGAAGCAGCAGCAAAGCATTTTCTCCAGACCTCCCAAAATTAGATCACATTAGCTGGCAGCTGAGCCTTAGCTGCTTGCTTTTTTTCCTCCTCCCTGAAAGCCGGAGCTACTTTGCAAGGGTTCTGCATGCATATGTCCCCATCCAGTAGGGACATCTGCCTGTCCTTCAAGATGGGAAACTGGTCATTTCCCAGCAGAGACCCTGTGGTTGGCC